GTGGAACCAGGGATTGAACTCAGGCTCTTGTACTTGCCAGGGAAGCACTTATTCCACTGAGCCATCTCCCTGGCCCCCTGGGGCAGTGGTTGGATTAGACAACGTCTTGCTATACAGTCCAGGCTGGCCTTGAACTCACTCTGTAGCCCAGACTGGCCTCAAACTCATGGCAATGCTCCTGCCTCAGCCTCCCAAGTGCTGGGATTGCAGATGTGCACCACCATGCCCAGCTTGAAGAGAAATTTGATAATTGCTAATATAGACTTAAAACATTAGGACTTCACTAGAAAGTGTCATGAGATAAATACTCATTCCTGAGCGAAAGACGCAATGCGACACAGGTAAAGGGTGTGACCCTGAAGAGGAGAGACTGTGAGGACTGTGCCGACACAGGGGTCTCTCTTGCAGCACCCTGGGATCAGAATGTGGTGGAGAGAACACTCTGACATCCCAAGAAGTTGACAACAAAGTGAATACAGAAAGAATCCGGTCACTTTGGGGCTGGGGTGGAGCTCAGCGGCAGAGTCCAGCACATGCTGCCGAAGCACTGGGCCAGTGTGTGCACCTAGCAGGTGCCGCTTTCAGTACCTAGACAGAACAGACCTCCAGCACTAAGGGCCAGAAACGCAAAAGGTATGAATGTTTCCCAGAGATGCAGTCACCACTGCCAGCGTCACCACCTTCCCCTGCAAGCGTGCAGGGTCCTCCCAAGGGGAGCTTCAGGCTCTGAAGATGGCAAGGTTATTTCAGTGTCTGTCTTGTCACCAGAAATGACTGCGGTGGTAGAAAATTGGCTGCCCAGCTGACACATCTACAGTGCAGTGCGGTCCCTCTCGCTCAGAGCCTACAGTCCAGCCTGGGTGCTGAAGTCTGCACTAAGTGATCAGCCAGGGTTACACGGTCAGACACTGCAGCACTTGTGTCGCGCTCCCTGGGGCCTCCCGGGGCCTCCCGGGCACGGCTGCTGTGTGGGATGCGAGGGGCACACTGGCACATCTGTGTGTCTGTGCAGCCTGGCAGGGGTGAGGCCACTGCCATCCCTTGGCTCTCTCAGATTCTTGGCACATTGCGTGGCACCCATCCGCTCCTGCAGACCCCAATCCTCTTGCAGGCACCAAGCTCACCCCCCAACTCCTAGCAGCTCCCCAAAGATCTGCCCAGTCTACAGTGGACAAAGGAGTGGGTGAACGACGAGGCATGGGGGAGGGTGGCTGTGGGCCATTGATGCCTCTGAGGGAACGCACTGCTTCCTAAATGCTGGGGCAGCTGGGGTTTGCAGCCCTGCATGGCTGAGCCGCTCCCGGCCACTCGGCCCCTTGGTGTCAGCAGCCCCGAAGGGCTCCTGGCCAATCCCCAGGTGTCTGCATCAGCCCTGTGAGAAGGGGCCGGGAATCTGCATTTCAAGCTCCTTCTGTGCACACCAGGACTCATCACAGCTGCGCTACATGCTCAGGCATCTTTCAGCTGGTAAGCCTTTAAGAGCGCCAGCCTCGAGCACTCAAGAAGAGGTTGGTTTTGTTCTGCACTCACACGCTGCAGGGCAGAATTGCCCACTCTTGTGCTCTCCTTGCCACGGTCTCCTCAGTTGCAAATGGGGAATGGGGGCAAAACATAGAAAAGGGAGTGAAATGAATGGCAGTGTGCCACCAGGGGCTGTGGACAGGCGACAGGGGCTGCTCAACAGGTGCAGAATCTCGGCACTGGAAGAGGAAGGTCTGGACCTCTGTCACACAGCCCCGGAGCACACTTAACTCTGCTGAGTTGTATGTGTAAAAATGGCAAAGACAGTAATTATGTGATTTTTTTTTAAATCAAAATTTAAAAGAGGGGGAAAAGCCCTTTTTTTTTAGCACATTGTGGGGGCACACATCTATAGTCCTCACTCTCGAGAGGCTGAGGCAGGACAATCACCATGGCTTTAGAAGCCAGCCTGGGCTACACAGCGAGACCCTGTCTCAAAAAGGGAAAAACAAACCTTTTTCTTTTCAGTGAGGTTGAAATGAAGGAGCCCTGAGCTACATCCCAGTCCTTATTTATTTTATATTTTGAGGCTGGGGCTCCCTCTGTAATCAAAGCTGGCCTCAAATTTATGTTCTTCAGTCTCCCGAGTAGCTTGGATTATAGTCAGTCCCACTGCATGTAGCAGAGAGACAGACAGACAGACAGACAGACAGACAGACAGACAGTGAATGAGAATTTAGTAAGGGGGCAGATAATATCAGTATTACATGGAACAAGCACATAGAGCCCTAAACTTGGGTCCAGGCACTAGTAAGCACTAAAAACATTACAACAGATATTACTTTGTTGTCAGGATTTTTAAAGTATTTAATCATGAGTGAGTTACTATTTAAAGGCATTTTAAGTACAATGACAGTCTGAATCTTCTGGCTGACAGAACTCCCCATACTTTTTGAAATGGCTTTGCCAATTTTTCAAGAAAAATTGGGCTATTTTTCAAGAAACTATTGGGCTATGAAACAGAAACCTGCATAATCATTCATTAAGGAATATTTCAAACTCTCTAAAAATCCAAATAGCCTTTGACAAAATACATATTTTCACCAAATGCTGACCAAAAAGATTATTTACATTTTCTATGTAGATCTCTATGCAGTATTTTAAAAACAGCCAGAGTATAGACTAGAACATGAAAGCAGAAGGACATTCACATTAGGCAGTCTAGCTCTTTTGACTTTCTTGGAGGGGTACTGGGAACTGGACTCAGGACCTTGTGCTTGCCAGGCAGGCACTGTACCACTGTACTCCTGGCCCCTTTTCATTTTTTGAGACAGCTCACTATGTAGTTCGGGCTGCTTTTGCACGAACTCTGTAGCCCAGGCTGGCTTCAAACTTGGAAGGATCCTCCTACCTCAGCCTCCCAAGCGTTGGGATCACAGGTGTGCACTGCCATGGCTGGTGTAGGCAGTCTAATTCTTGAAACATTAAAGTCCTCAGTTTGCAGAGTTGAAGGAAACAAAAATTTGTTCATTTTCCACTTTAATAAAGGAAATCAAGCAAAACAGAAGAAAGAAATGATCTCCCCGTCCTGAAAAGCCACAGGAAGTACTTGTCATCTTTGATGTGCTTTTGGAAGGCAGCACACTCTCCGGCACCATGGCACAGACCCAACGGCAGCGTTTTGATTCCGTGTGCATCTATGTGAATTCTGTTCCTCCAGCCTATTATTCAGGCCATCACAGGACAGATGTGTCATTTTACAGGGCCATAATCCACTGGGTGGACAGATAACCAAGAGGCCTTTGTCTTCCTCGTTTACTCCAGTAAGAAAACCAGACGATCGCCCTGTAAAGCAGCATGGGGTCCACACCCCAAGTCCTGCAGCCTGTAGCCTCAGAACCTCCTCATGCCAAATTCATAAAGTCTGACTCACTCAGACTTGGTTGGACTCAGGCTGAACTAAATGATCCGAGGCTGGAAAGAGCTCGTGAACGGGGCAACGAGAGGGTGGGAAGGTTCCTGGAAGGCCAGGGCTGCAGGCTGCACAGGTGTTTATGCGAAAGCACAGTGAGAGAAAATTCTAATTAAGCCTCTTGGTGGAAAGCTGAGTGCTGCAGCCCTCGCTAAGAATGCCCTGGCAGGTCCCTGTTCCTCACCTCCACCCCGTGTGTGCGCCACCCTAAGTGAGCACCTTCTGCTCGCGCTGGCCCAGCACAGCGCCCTGGAAATCCTGAGTTAGGGCAGAACTGGCTGTGGAGTGCCGTGCTCGTGCACCTGAGACCTAGGAAGGGCTGAGCTGCTCGGGTTAGGGTGTGGGTCTCAAAGAGGCCTGCTCCCCTGCCAAGAGGAGATGGGAGAGTGGAGATGAGGGGCTGTGAATGTTACAGCAGAACAAGGAATGAAAAGCTGGGCATCATGGCGCACACCTGTTGTCCCAGCACTTCAGAGGCCGAGGCAGGAGGATCACTGCAAGTTGAAGGCCAGGCTGAGCTACACAGTGAGCTTGAGCCCAGCATGAACTACATAGTGAGACCCTGTCCCAAAAAAGGAAAGAAAAGAACATTAAGTAATGGAATAGTAGGCCAGGGAGATGGCTCAGTAGAATAAGTGCTTCCCTGGCAAGCGCAAGGGTCTGAGTTCAATCCCCAGTTCCTCCAAAAAAAAAAAAAAAAAAAAAAAAGACACAGTTGCACTAAGTTGTTAAGTTGTTGGGGCAGAACTTAAACTTATGAATCGTACTGCCTCAGCATCCCAGAGTGCTGGGATTATAGCTCCAACTAGTCCTAGTCTCATAACTTTGGGCAATCCCTTAGCTACTTTGGGCCTCAGTTTTCTAATCCAGAACAGTGCCTAGGTCACATGACACATGGAATAAGTATTTGTAAAAGGGAGGAAAATGAACCTGCAAAATGAGAAGATAGCAGGACCTCAGAGATGCCTTCTAGTCCCAGCCCTCACCAGAACTGTGATTTGTCTGCCACAGATGGCCTGTCTCTGGTCCTTCTGCTCCCCTTTCCTAAGCATGGCGGCAGGCTCGTGGCCTTTACCCAATACGATCTTGACATGCAGGTGCTTAGCACCACATGTGACACCTCCCAATTATGTCAGTACAAGGAGGATGCCTTTCACATTAACCTGATAATACAGTTTTTAAAAATAATAATCAGTTGCCAGAGCATATTACTGCTTTTAAAGACCAATTCGATATTTCTAAAGTCATATAATGAACTATTTAAATTTTTCTTTGGTTGTTTTCTGCTTGATTTCAAGAGTTAAATGAATGGTTTCCCATATTTGGCATCTGACTTTTTTCCCTCCCCATTAAAATGCTGAATTTTTTTTTTTTAAATTCCCCTCCTCCTCAGGGAGAAAAAAGAAATCTTTCCCCTGCAATTTACTTCGACTCTCGAAAGTTGGGCAAGAAAGCCAGTGTAATTCAGGTGGAATCTAAAAATGTTCTTGTGGTACAAGTGTGCGCAGAAAGGAAGCCTGTAATTTCCAGGCATTCTCTCAGGAAGTTTGTGTTCTGTGTTTTGCAGGGAGCCTTTACTTTCCAAGGGAGTATGATCGACATGCCGTTACTGAAGCAGGCTCAGAACATTGTTACGCTTGCCACATCCATCAGGGAAAAATCATCTGTTAGATGAAGCACTCATCAGGTGGGCTGAGCATGTACGGCGGGCTTCGGAAGACCAGACGGTACGCAGGCACGCCCGATCGGGGCCTGGCCGCATTTACAGGGCAGTTGCTGTGGCGGTTCTTCTTCTTGCTGTTGTCTTATTGGCCAAGTTATTCCTCTAAGACTGAGCTTTCTTCCTCTGGTATCCTTTAAGCTTATGATGATCTTAGTTTCATTTATTGATGGATTGCAAATGTGGATTGATGATTTCATGGAAAGAGAAAAATCGTGGAAGGAGGCGGACATGGGTGGAAGTTAGGTGTTTCGTGAGACAGATCTTTGTCAAATCCTGTGCTCCCCTTGCAGTATATGTTTGTCACATTGTTCATCTGTACGGCTGACATCACAGGTAATTTTAAGGCCAGGCTTTTTAAAAAACAAGGGTAAAATTTGGGGGGTGTATTTCAATAACAATCCTATAAAATAGAGACCCCTCGGAAAACATTATGGAGTATGGTATAGGCCTGTAAAGCCACCTTCTAAAAATAAACTTCCCAAACTGATTACTGTTAACCTCCACCCCCCAACTGCACCACCCCTACCCTCGGAAGGCTGATGGTGAGCCCGAGAGAGCTCATGGGGTAAATGCTTTGGGTCAATAGTTACCGGCAATTAAAAAATAAATGTGTAGGAACACAAGGCTGTCCTTTCTCCCTTTTATTTCCCACTTTAACTGTTCACCAACGAGGCCATTTCCCCTGTAAATTCATGGCGGCGACAGGGCTCCCTCGGCCATAAACTTGTAGCGTCCCCGACATCGACACAAAGCCAGGGCACCAGGCTGGTGCGCACGGCCCCCTGCAAGATTTGCATCACATTAGAGATGCGGCTACAGGTCAGATGGGTGGTGTGGTTAACGGGCTTAGTAAAGCTGTTTTGAAGAGGTTAACCCAGCTTGTAGTAAGGGTAAATAAACATAACAACCGGCCATTGTTCCCCATTCAGCACATACTCTTATATTGAAGGCTAAAGGGTATTGAAGCTGCAGAGGATCAGCTTGTGCGTGCCAGAGGACGCCAATGAAGTTTGAAACACCAACAATCAGAGATTTTGTTTCTGTTCCTCATTAAATCATGAGCTTTTGTGTTGAGACTCTGGATGACTGTTCTTTAAGAAATTAACAGAATGGGAAGTTTTAAACTCTGCACCAACCTTTTCACGACCTACACAGCAGCGACCTGCTACTCTTAGACAAACACCGCGGGGAAGACCATTCTATTTATTTAAATTTGTAAATAGAAAACAGTTGTTTCTTCAGTTTCATTTTTCACCTCCTCCTACGCCCTCTTGGTGTGTTCCCTTCATGGCCTCAAGCGTGGGCCCAACAAGAGGTCTCCTTTTTTCCCCCTACTTCCCTGGGTCCCTCAAGAAGCCCTCAGAGAGGTAAGCAGAGTGAGGAACTGTCACAAGCAAGGACATCATGACACCAGGACCAAGTGGGGAGATGTCACAACTTGGTCTGGGAAGGGCAGAAGGGGAACTCCTGTCCACGGACTCCAGAATGAACTTATATAGGTGACAGACATTCTTGAGATGCCAACTAATATTCCCAAGTAGGGGATTCAGGGAGCCAGTGCCTAAGGTGAGCTGTGAGCCCCCTTTCCTGTGCAGCCTTCCGCCTCTGTAGGGCATCGTCCCCTCCACCTGGGTCATCCTGTGCTTCCGTAGTTTTTGCAAAAGCAGGTAGCAGCCAAGCCACCCTCCCTTGGGGAGTGTGGAGAGGAGGCAGCATCTCAGACTCAGAGGCAAACAGCATCCAGCCAAGACTCAGCCCAGACTGCAGCTGGAGGTTGGGGAGCCACTGGGCTGGAGCCAGGAACATCCTGGTCTGCATAGTCTCTGCTCAAAGTAAGGGACAAGCATTCTGAAGAAGGAAGGCCAGAGACATGCCAAGAGGGGTCACAGGAGCTTCTGGTAGGAGGAGCAAAGGGTATGCATTCCGGTTTCCACCCCAACAATGCAGGCAGCCCCCAACCCCACACAGAAGGCTTCCTCAAGCCAGGCACCCCTGGCTTCAGGGCTGGTCCACAGGAAGTCTCAAAGAAGAAAGTAGAGAGTGTTGGGATCATAGAAAAAGCAACCTGGCCTGCTGCCCTGCCAGCCTCAGGCCCTGGGGCCCCTAGCTCACCGTCCATTTAGGCAGCTTCCCTCGCACTGGTCCCAACGCCACCTTACTAAGTCTCCCCAGCATCATAACCCAGTAATCCCAACTGTGGGAGGACCATGAGACTGAGACCACAGTCCCAGAAGAGTCATTCACAGCCACAGTGCCAGTGTACCTCAGGCCTTAAGAGACAGCTCAGGAACAGGAGGTGCCAGGATTCAGAAGCCATCCCTCTGTGCCTACCCACACCTCTGGGTGCTGCGGGTGGCAAGGATGGAGGGCTGGGTGAAGGGACTGTGCATCCAGGCCCTGCTGACCTAGAGCGTGACGCTTGCCCCTCAGAGCTAATCAGATTAATTAAAAACCATACCTGTTTATGGTTTGCGTCTCTCATCACAAGCCGCTTCTCTAGATTACCCCCTTGTTATTAATTCTTGAAGGCTAAATTATGGGTAACACTATTAAAACATTATCAGAACTAATGAGAAACAATTACTTAGAAAATGAGCCAGGACAAGATTGAGTTGAGAACATCAGGGTGATCACCATAGATTAGTTTAATAAATCATCAGGTGCGAGGCGAGATGGACTGTATGGATGCAAAGCCCTGTCACGGGAAAATGAAATTGAGATTTTTTTTGCATAATTTTTTCATTAATCTCAATAGGACCCGTGTGGTGTAGATTGCTTTATTCCCCTAATACCTTGCCCGAGGGGGGGGGCAATAATGTCTTCATTGTTTTACTGAGGTCTTAATGACAGTCTGTGACAACCTCATTTTAATGTATAGAGGATTCTATCAATACCATCATGTTTTATTGAAGTGGTGAGGGGGACTCCAGTGACACGCCCAGGGTACTGTCCACAGAGCACAAGTTAGGGAGTTCTGCAGGTCTGGGGATCTTCCTTCCTAATGCTACCCACTGCCCTCTGGAGACAAGCTGGGGACAGGGGATCCTACCGAATGAAGACTTCACCACCCCAGATTATGAATTTGAAAGTTGCCACTTGCCTAGCATATTCTTCCGGGTCGGTAGGACAACTGTGTGACTGTCACCCCTTGTCACCCTTCTCTAAAATAGACGTGTCATTATCACCAACACCTCTGCCCCCAATAGTTTTGCTGGAGTTTGGAGAAATTGATTTTATCCTTTGGGGATTTCGAGGCTTTTTAATCAGAAAGACATTTTGCCTTTAGCATTTCTATTTATCTTGCAGCCAAAATCTTCCATTATTTTTTTCTTCTCTAGTCCTAGGAAAATAATCGATGGCACAAAACCAGTTATAAAATTTCCATCAAAACCTTTGCATATGAATACTGGCCAGGCCAGGGAATCAGACGAGTCGGTGATTGCAGGGCTCCTGCTGCCCACCCGGGCTTGGGGACAGCGACAGTGATGTGGGGCCACAGCTCCTCTCCCCTCCAGAGCTTTAGAGAGCAGCGAGGAACGCAGTTACTGGACCCCACATTTAACGTTAAAGTCTCGGTCTGAGTCTGATCCTTCCTTTCCGAGCGGTCCTAAGCCGGAAGGGACAGGTGTGGCTGAAACAAGAGCGACCACAACGCAAAGCGAGTTACTTTCCCGCACCTGCGAGCTGATGCAGGGGCGCCCGCGGCTCTGTGCTGTTCGCAGATGGGTGTTTGCTGTCGTCCTTTTTGCAGGTTTGTTTCAATACCAGCAACTATCTGGCAGCGCACCTTACAGAAAAGCCACCCACAGGAAAAACCGCTGTGACGCAGTGTCCTGTGCTGCGCTGCGACCCGGTTTCAGCTGCAGAATGTTCATTTGAAAAAGTCTCCGTGAAGGGGACCGGGGATCCACGGCCACCCCTTTTAGGTTTTCCCCCATTCTAGAAGATTGGCGGGTTTTATTCTTGCTGCTCCCGACGGAAAGGCCCGGCGAGGCGGTGCCTGCGCGCGGCCGGGAAACCTGGGGACCCCGGGCCTGGGGACAACGTGGTCCCCAGAGAGGCGCGTGCGTGGAGCAGGCTGGGGCGCGGTGGGGGAGCCCGGCCGCCCTGGCCCTGCGGTCCCGTCACGCAGCCTGGCTGCGATGGTGGCAGATCAAAGGCTGCCCGTGTCCCCGCGGAGCCGGGAGACAATCGCACGCCTTTGTGCTCCGTTGCTAGGAGCCCGAGAAACTACGGGAAAGTGTCAGGAGCATGTTAATCAGACTCGTTACAGTGTAACAATAACGTCTCTCTCGGGGCTCCGGCCCAGAGCACCCCCTTGCACCCCGCACAGGCGACACCTGCGTTGGCCCCGCGTCGCCCCAAGTTCCTGGTCCCAGAGTCATCACTGCCCGCACTCGGTTGCGGAGCCCTGCAAACACCAGCGCACCCGCCCTGACTGGACCTTGGGCCCTTACTCTGCAGCCTAGCAGCAGCTTGTTGGACCAAAGAGGGCCACCATCCGGGTCCCTGGCTTTACAGCCAGACAGTGAGTTGCTCCCGTTACCCAGATACAGTATGTGAAACAAGAGAAAAAGGGGCACTCCATTTCAGAGAGCTTGAACGGGTAAGAGGTCCCCAAGCAATGTTCATTCAACTTTACCATTTTCTTTCTCACATCCATAGAGAAGACAGGAGGTGATAATCCCCAGCTTAGTAAACAAAGAAGAGAAACTTCGCTGAGAAAATATCTCAGAATTTTTCCCAGAGTCACTTCATCCATTTAGTCACTCAACAAACACCTGTGGGGCCAAGTGGGTCCCTGAAGGCTTTAGGCCTTGCCCGATGGGCTTTTCTCTTAAAGTTAAAATGCCTCTGTGGAAGTCTAGGGAGGTGCAAATCTGCAAAATAACATCCAATGTTAAAAAGAAGTCCCAGTGCCCTTGACTACAGCCTAGAGAGGTGTAAATTAAAAACTAAAAAGCTCTTAAAAAAACCTCAAGCTTGGGGGCCAGGGAGATGGCTCAGTGGAATAAGTGCTTCCCTGGCAAGTGCAAGGGCCTGAGTTCAATCCCCGGTCCTTCCAAAGGAAAAAAAAAAAAACCTCAAGCTTAGCCTTGGAGTTTTTCACCTCTTTGGTGGAGAGCAGCCCTGAGGAGTGAGGCCACCCGTCCTGAGTGTGTACCCCCTTGAGGCAGCCCCCTGGGGCCTAGGTCCTGGCCCCACCTTCCCCCACCTCCCCCTGAGGCAGCTCGGGCCCAGGCGACTGCTTGTTCAGGAACCATCCTGCCTGGCATCAGAAGACCCACAAAGGCAGACTACAAGGCAGAAGCCGCCCCCTAAGTCAGGATAAAGCTAGCTGGAGAAAAAGTGCCTCTGTACTCACCTGCCCACCTGTACCCATTGAGCTGGGAGGAATCTTGTCACTGTCACTGTAGGACTGCTCTGTGGGTCACCAAGGATTCTCAAGCGCTCTTGGTGGCCCATGCCTGTAATAAGACACCTGGGAGACTGAGGCAAGATTGAAAATTGGAGCCCAGTCCAGGCAAGTTAGCAATTTAGGGCAACCCTGTCTCAAAATTAATAGAGGACTGGGCACGTAGCTCAGCGTGAAGGCCCTAGGTTCAACCCCAGTAGCATACACAAAGAATAAAAAAGATCAGGACATGTTTCTGAGGTGTGGCTTAGGGTCTGGAAGGAACTTGTGAGCTTTCTTTTTTCACAGTTAATAGACTGAAAATTGCATTGTATATGATGTCATGACAGTTAAAATATCTGCTAACAGGGCTGAGGAGAAACGCAGAAGAACCTGGACTGTTTGCTCTAACGCGGAATCATTGCTTGGCCGGTTGTGTTTTGTTCTGCAAGAATGAATCAAATGACCTTAGTTATTCAGAGGTACAAGAGACCTCAGAGAAAGGGACCTTCGCTTTCCCATCCTCTGTGGAGCCCCTAGCTTTATATGTAAAAAGGAGGCAGCAAGGGCTTTTCTGTGCCCCAGGAAGGGAAGGACAGAAACCACCGGGTCATTTGGCCTCGGTTTTCAGCGCACCATTCCAGCTGCTGCCAGGTACACTGCAGGCAACTTCCGGCCAGCCTGGATGCAGAGACAGCACAGTGGAGCTCAAGGTGGGCAGCACCTTCTGCTCTAACCTC